CCGAGTGATTTTCGATTTGTGTAAATTTAATATTATGATCTACAAGATCACTTTCCTGTGAAACGATCACCAAGATTTTGTAGAAACTAGCATTTCGAAAACCATTTTAGATTTACGGCGTACCTACGATTTTTTTTTACCACGACACCTGTGAGCTTAAAACCGTTTCGAAATATCACGAAATATCTCGTTTTCATGAGAAAAAAAACCAAATAATTCCTACGCTCACCGCAGGCTATGAATTCGATTTTTTACGATTTTTGACGCCCGAGGTCAGATCGGCACTTAACGTGTGGTCGCAGAAAATGTAATATAATGCCGTAAATTATTCTGCTGCGACGGGCACACAAATTTTGAATTTTCAAAAGACGGACCATATATTATGCAAATGTGTGTGTGTTCAACACTCCGATATCGGTACAATGTCATATGTACAGATTATCATGAACGATAATATCGAAACCGTCGGTTGGCATCTTTAGTCGTTGGTGACATTGTATAATAGGTGAAAGATAGGAGGACAGCTCTACAAAAAAATCAGGGGAATAAAGTCCATCACCGCCGCATGAAAAAAATGTTTTTTTTGCCATTATACTTGACATTGTATTTACAAAATACATGTTTTTCTTTAGAAAATATAGGCACAGTACATGAAATCAGAAAAAATTTAATAGAAGGTTTCAAAAGTGTTAACAAAATATGAATATTTAAATGTTTTGTTGATTGGATACAACTATATAAGAATATAATTCGAAGGGTAGTTTAAGCATAAATACTTTTTAAAAGAAGATGGATTCTATCCCCCACGTATACCCTCAGTTCGAGCACTGAATAGTTACCTAAATTAATCTGATGACATGTGTCACACTTTGGAAACTTATAGTGCAAAAAATGTCTAAAGTTGGAGACTCAAGGGGCAAAACAAAAACAAAATCTAAATAGCATCAAAGCTGAAATTCGATTTAACATGTTTTGTTCACACGTTTACAGCTGAAGCCAAATCAGATGTTTCTATGTTTTTAATCCTAATAGGTCAAAACCACACGAAAGAAATGTTTTTTAATTTGTTCATAAATAATAGCTGCGGTAACCACTTAAAAATCATCCAGGACGCACTCGTAGCGCGTAAACTGTAATATAATAATGAAGTTTTCAATATTGTTTATATTAACTGTAGTAGGTACCATAATATTATATTTAGGTACTCGTATTTTGTATCAATATTGTTTATATTCGCCGTCGTAGGTATAGTTATCGTACTAGTGTTTTAAATCGCTTGGCGCCGTAATAATTTAAAACACATCATCATGGCATGACAATTATAATTATTATATCGTACCGTTAAATGTTGAACTTACGTATAATCTGAGGAAATCGTTTCCAAACTTGTACTCCTGGCTCGTTCAAAAATATAATAGTCATAGGTATACTGATCGTCAGTAAACAAAAGTGTTAGTTACAATAATAATGTACAAATCACGTTAATATTACCTCGACTCTTGACTACAATAACTCACGTCGGCGACACTTCATAATATGATGGAAACTTATTGTAATTTAAATATTATAAATTTATAAGTATTTTGTTGGGCCGTGTTGGCCATCCGTTGTACGCATAATAATAATAATAATAATATGATATATAGGTTCACGGTGAGTCACGAGTTTTGGTATTTTTTTACCCATTATTGTTGTGACCCGCAGCCGGTCGTCGCGTAAAGAATTTAGACGCGTACCATCTATATATACGCATTAAACGCGTACTATAATACACACGAGTATAATATTATATGTTATATATTTTTTTTATACATTTACGCGTTCGTCGGTTGACACGGAAAAAAATCTCCCCAAACAAACAGACCGAAAAAACGCCGAAACGAAAGGAAAAAAAAAATAAATAGAATTTCCATGTATTTATCGGAGTATTTGCCAGATGCGGTAAACGAGAGACGTTCGTATATGGTTAAAAAAAAAATCTCAACGTCTCTCCCATTGTACAGTTATATTATATTATGTGCACCTATGTAGGTATAGGACCGCAGACTTTTGACCCATCTACTTCGGCAGTCGACCGGTATTTGGACACCACGTATTATAATAATATATCATATAAGCACATATATATGAGATTTTTTTTGTACTAAAATATAAGTAGTGTCCTGTGGACATACAAGACTTCTATACTTTTAATTAGATCCACTAGTCCTCCTTTATGTGCTGTAAATGATTTTTCTGAATATTATATAACGAAAAAATCAAAATTAATTCCAAAACCAGTGTCGTTTTTGAGTTATTTAACTTTGTTGATTGTCCATTAAAATGGGTTCAGAATTTAATTTGGGAGCTATGGTGAATTTATATTAATCTATCCACATTTATAGTTTGTAACAATAGTCCAAGTGTAATAATCACTAATTAGACCCAATATTACATCTTCTTTATTTTTTGAAAAGTCATTTTTGAAGACTAAATTTTTATCTTTGTGTAGTATACATTTTTTAACTATCGAGAAAGTACTCATTTAAAATTTTAATTAGGTATTAATATTGTCAATAAATGTGTACACTAAATAATTTACTAACCTAAAAAGGTGGTTCTAATTTGAAAATCGGAGTTTGTATTTCAACAGTGACAGTCCTTAAGTTGTAGAAAAAAATTCAATTAAATAAATAGTCTTTGAGTTTAATTAAAAATTCTAAAAATCTTTATTTGAATAAAAAGATTGTCAAAAAAGTGGTGAATCATCCTGTATATTTATAATATATTGGCTACGTTTTTTTTTTCATTTTCTCGAAATTATTTTCGTTTTAGGAGACAAACATAATATTATATTGTACGTAGGTATTTTATTGCCAGCGTGTTATTTTATTTTCACACGAAAAGACAAATGCAAATGCCATCGCCGTCGTCCTAACGAATCAGAGATGAATTATTTTTTTAATTTGATTAATTAATTGATTTAATTTTTTTTAATACGTTCCGTTTTACTGCTCGTTTATTCCGAGTCGTATATTCTGTCGCACACACTATTTTCAGGTATCTATCAAGTATATCTCTCTATTAAGCTTGAAAAAAATCCAAATAACTAGTGTACACACATAGCGACATCCGAATGAACACAACGTTCAACTGAACGATATTAAATGATAAATTATTAACCGCATTATCGTTTTGTTCAGTAATAATAGTATGATCGTGCCAATGTGCCTATGTATACCTAAGCCCTGATATTTAAACCGCATTGGCGCCTTTAGCATTTTCAAAAGATCAATCTAGACAATTATTTTAAAGTTACAAAATACATACGAAAAACTTTAAAGCTACTTTTAATTTAAACGGGTGAAAATTCCACATCGTTATCCAACTCCTTTTCCGCCCAATTACGCCTCCATATAAAGACTACGTTGCACATGATGGAGTAGTGGTAGTCCTGCATATGAATTCCAAAAATATTGAAATCGTCATAACTCTATAATATAATATTGTATGATCGTTGGCCATCCAACAAGTCGTACGATTATTCTTATGATAATAGTTTTTAGTTTTTCAAGTTTTGAAATGGCCACCCCCTGCGATTCCGAGTATTTGTGAATAAAAGTCATATCAATCATAATTCATAAGATATAGGTACTTTGTAATGCCTGACGTCGTCGTTGGCGGAAGCGACGGCGTCGGGTGGTCTGCGAAAATCTTTGGAATGGTTTTAAAAATATTTCGGGGAAAAAAACACACTCATGATTTCCGACGAAATAACACGTTATCATTTTATACGACGCTATTATGTTCTTTTAGGGGGTCGGTATTTTTTTCTCTCGGAACTGCGCGACGACGACGACGACGACCCATCGCTGTACAACGGCGGCGGCGCTGTTAACCCGCATTCCTCGGTATTATTCCTCAGCCTCCTTTAGCTCTCACTCTTACAGTATCTCTCTGTCTCTTTCTCACACGCACACACACACACACACACGCACACACACACACACGCACGCACACGCACACTTTATCCCTCTCTCCCTTCTCACAACACCTCTCCGTGACCGACACTATACAATATATATTTCTCGACGCACATTATTCCACTGGCACGTATAGACACCCCTACATTTGCATAACAATTTCAAACTTTTTTTTTTTTTACCCGACGACGCCCTGACCTCTCTTTGTGATAATTTATTATATTAGACACAACACAAAATATTATAATATATTATTATGCCTCCGTCTCGCTGGTCCCCAATGACACATCGTTCCTTTGAGGCTCGCGAGCACATCATTATAATAGCTGCAGGGTGACGCAACCTGCAGACGATATTGTGATCGGCGCCAGACCGTGAGCGTCTAGACAAGACGTCGTACCCACGAGCATATTATTTTGTGTTGTCTCTGACTTACTACCCCTACAACATACCAAATAACCAAAATAATTTCAGTTTAGCAGTACCGATTTTGTGTGGTTAGGGTAAATATATTAGAGTGAATAAAAGTTTAAGGTAAGAGCATTTGCTGTGGTTTTGTAATTGGATTTGTACGATATTTTAGTCATAAAGTGCGTTATGACTACTATATCCTCATAATTCACTTAACAATTTTAATGCTGTAAACAACCGAAGAGAGGACATATATTATAATGTTCTTATAAAATTAATGTTCTAATTTCATTGGTATACTGTGCGTTGATAAGACAAGACTTTGCACATGCGGGAACGATATCTTCGGGGACTGGATGTAGTGTAAAATAAAATAGGCCAAAAGCTAGGCAGAACTGTATAGGGCTTGGGTTTGATGGATTTTAAATTTTTAAAACTAATTAAAAATCTTCAATAACTCTACTAAAGCATGGCCTAGGCAATCTATCATTAGTACAAAAATGAATAACCACCACGCCGCGCTTTAAAACAAAGGATTCCCACAAAAACTATAATATAGTTACATATTATTATTATTTTCGTAATTTATTCCTTTCTATATGTTTACCGTTGCTCTCAATAATATAGACGGTGTGTGCTGCGCGAGAGACGTCATCATGCGGCGTCCCTTCGACATCGGAGTCGCCCTGCTCGTCGTCCTGCTGGCTGTTGGCCAACAGCTACAGAACTCGGTCGCGATCAACTCACCCGCCAAGAAGACGAGCGGTGGCTCGTTCAGCGTGTGGTTTCGTGCCGAGCCCGGACTGCCCCGCAAGAAGGACATGAAAGTCGACAAGCTCAACCGACTCATCGGTGCCGATTACAACGAAATGTGGATGAGCAAAACGGCAATCGTAATAACGGTACGGTTTAATCTTATTCGCGTGTTGCCCAATGTTTGTTTACAATTATTATACCTACGATTATTATTACATTATCAGCTGCATTCGCTACACGTAATATGTGCCACTGCTTCGCTGTCCATGTTTTCGGATTGAAAACAAAAAAATGTTTACGCGTAAAATCGTGACATCTATATAATATTATGGACGTCTTGTCTCCGGAAAGTATAGCTATACATTGGATATTTGGTTACCGAAAATTATTACAGACATGCGTGACGTTTGTCTCCCGGATTTTGTTTCTTAAATGTATGCATTAAGATTTAAACGGTAAAAAAATAGTTTTAAGTTAGGAATCCAATATTAGTTCATTATATTCTATATTCATTGATACGGAAACGAAAATTGAAATAATAAATATTGTGCCACCCTATTATTATAATTCTCAGAGAAATTAAGTTCTAAAGAAAAGATAATACATGTAGTAAACTATGCAGAACTTCACTATAATAATGATGATGTTTTGTATTATTTAAAAAACAATATAATATTGAGCTTGCGTAAAAATTAAATACACATTTGTGGGACGTGAGTTTTAATTATATTATTTGTAATTGTATTTACATAGTTATTTTAGACATTTTAGTATAGTATAAAAATAAATTGATCACTGAACTTAATATTATTGTTTTTAAGAAATTAATTAAAAATAATGATTTAAAAATTTAGTGACAAACGTCATGTGACCAAATAATTTATCTTAATATCAATTGCTGTCTGTTTGCCATAATAATTGCGTGCAGAAATGTATACGACACGCATATCTATTTTTTAAAAGTATAAATATTTTATAACTTATAATATTTAAATAATTTTTTACTCACTACGAAGACTTGAGTAAATTAAGAGTAATATACTTGTAATGTTACGAACGATGATTATAATAAATGATTTTGGTATGCATCATCGTTCGGTACCTACGCAATATTCCAACATCGATTTAACAGATCAAATCAGATTAGGACGTTGTGTATAATGAGTGAAATATATAGCCATAACTAATAAAAATAGGGAGTGGATGTCAATGTCAATGTTCTAAAAAATATTGAGGAATTCACACTAAAAGATTATGCACCTATGAAATGCATTTCGTAAAAAAAATATCTTAAGACGTCTAAAAATTCCCTAGAGTAATGAAAACAATTTTGTTTTTTTAAACAGTGGAAAGTTGGTAACCAGTACCAGTTGTACAGTAGGTGTCGAGTGTGCCTCGTCATTGAGTAAGTCACTTTAGTGTATGTGTTAAAGTTGATTCAATGATAAATTGATTGCGTATGAAAAAAGATTTTGAGCGAGTAATTGGCTTGTCCGCCCATAAGTGCCTATATTTTATGATATTGTATTTCTATTGCTGTTAAAGTAATTAATTGTATTATTATACTAATACGGAAGGTTGAATTAATTTTTAATAATATTTTTAAATTACGACAAAATAACTATAAAGTCGTTACTTGTTATTCTTCATTTCAATATCCAATTATTCGTATACATTTGACATTGAATTGCCAATGACAAAAAAAATTATGCTCATATTATATTTTTTGGGTATTTGGTTTCAGAGCAGTAGTTATTGTGGAACTTTATATTAAATGTTTAAGCTTTACAATATTTATTGAACATAACATACATTTTTAACTACGAAATAATTTTCAAATTTTCGTAAATTCGACGAATTTTTTCAAATGTTTAAGAAAAAACAAGTGTCTATGTACTTTCAATATTTTAAAATTGTTATAATAACAACTTATGAGAAATCTTGTAGCATAATATATTCAAAATTGTTGAAGGAACAAAAAATATTCAAATAAAACCCTCAACGTTGAAGAACAAAGCGTCATTTCTACTATAAATTGTATAAATACATGCTGAAACAAAATAATTTCATACATTGTTATAAAATCAATACATTCATCATCACTCAGCTCGGAATCTAATATGTCTACACTTCCAGAAACAAGTTCAATTTACATTAAAATCTGCGCCTCAGTACAATACCAATAATTACTAATAATGCACAAATACCTGAATTATCTACCTGAAGTCGAGGTTTATATAGTATTGTTCATGATAGATAATATAACAATATGTGCCTAGCTATTATAAACTTATTTATTACCAGTATTAAGATGTTTACTGAGATACAAAGAACTTAAAATTAAAGTAAACGCTTTTTTTATCCGATTTATTGTCTTTTGCGTATGTTCTCAGACTAGTATACCAAAACTAACTATCAATTAACCGCGAACTCGTGAATACGTTTATAACAAATTCGCTTTTGGTTTCAACTATTTTTATGTATCAAATTTAACGCAGTATAATATTATACAAAATTCGATGTTTTAATAATAAATTATTTTATATTGAATTAATCTCACTTTTTTGTCTACTTACTATTATAATAATGTGTGAACAGACGGTTGACTTAAGCGATCCGCATCGAAACGATGTCCACATTGAAACGTACATTCTGGACTTTAATTGATTTCCGATACCATGCCTAGGTACCTATATACATAATAATATAATATAATACGCGTATAATATGATATCTATATATGCGTGTCAGACCGTTAAGACACAAATTCTGTTTTACGTATAATCCTGTCACATTCATAATGTACAAGGTGATTCACCAATCATGTTCACCCCCATTTGTTATCCAGGTCTTATTCGAGAATTTTAAAATTTTAAAATGTACTTAAATTCCGTATTACTATCAAATTATTGACACTTTTTCTAATAGTTATTCAATAATGTCATGTGGCGATACAAACTTCTGTTTTTCAAATAATTTTTACTGTCAACTATTTAGTGGATGTTTATTAAAGCACTATCGATGTACCTAACTAATTAAAAATTTGAACAAATAACTTTTGAGTTATTAAAATGTTTACACTAAGGATAATGTTAATAGTAATTGAAAATGGTTTTAAAAATATAACCTAAAATAAATGCAATGTTGGATCTAGAATTTATTATACTTAGATCATTCCTGTTAATGGATTAATATAAATTACAAACATTTTCAAAAAAATGTTAAAAAAATAACTATATTACTGTTGCCCTCCAAATCCATTATCATGGACCCATTACTCTTAGAATAATTTGTATCCCAGCAGGAAATTCCTCAATAGTACAGTACGAAAAATCTCGATTATTTAAAAATATGGTCTTGAGGTATACATTATACTTGTTATACCTACCTATTTAAAAAGTCTAAAAATCAGACCCCTGGTCACTGGGGGTGCAACCATGCTCGGGGAATCGTCCTGTATATTATTATTATTATTATTATTATTATATTATTATATACTCGTCATGCCCGCCGCTCGTATGTACATCATGTAGGTAGGTGTATATGTTTTTTTCCACGTTTCCAAACGTGTCCGTTAAATGATCAAATCTTTTGTCGTCATATATGCGTACAACATTATATTATTATAATATAGGTTGTGATATTATGGGAAGTAGGTACGTGCCATAATCTCGTGTCGAGAATAAAACGCGTACACCTACTACAACTATACGTTATGCCTGTATATAATACACACACACACACACACACACACACACACACACACACACACACACACACACACACACACACACACACACACACACACACACACACACAC